GTTGGAGGCCATCGCTATTGGGTTGGAGGCCATGGCTAGTAGGGGTGGACGCCATCGCTATTAGGTTGGAAGCCATCGCTGGTAGGTTGGAGGCCATTGCTAGTAGAAACAAAGAAAATGGAAAGGAAGAAAGGCCAAAAGGCCGAGATATTCCAGAAAGGCCGGTCTTTTCAAACTCAGCTTCTCACATTGTCCAGACCGCCAAAGGCTTCCACGTACACGAAAACAGAGTACCTCGCATGTCAGTTTGCACCTACGAAACACGGAACAGGATTTCGGTCGCACCAACGTAAGCCAACCATGCCGCAACCATGCATCAACATCCTCAGTCAGCCACGATGTCAAACAACACATTTGATGTGTTGCCCTCTGCGTTTGATATGGTCAAGTGTCCAATGCACCCTTTTTGCATCCCGTTTGCATCCTTCCTGTAAGGCCTTACCCAACCAAACATACCCAACTGTGGTTTCTTCTCTTGCATCCTTAGGGAGACACTCCACTGGCGTAGCTGCAGTGATAGGCACAGCGATCCCCCTGCAGGACCTCTGTCAGAACCGGCCACGATGTGCAGAGGCGGTCTTTTTAAGGAGCGTTTCTTTTTCTGCTTGCCACCAGGGCTTTCGATTTGGAATTTCAAACACTTCTTGGAATAAATATATAATATAACCTCATTTTGCGTACACACATTCACATGCATTCAAAAGGCCGGCTGAAATCTGTTTGACTGACAAGAATGCAACCATCTAAAAGATTCTTTTGAAGACCACTTCAGCATATTATCTGGGATTTAAACATTGAGAAAACCAAAATAGTTTGCTATTAGGTTGGAGGCCATCGCTATTAGGTTACAGGCCATTGCTGGTAGGTCGGAGGCCATCGCAATTAGGTTGGAGCCCATCGCTATTAGGTTGGAGGCCATCCCTATTAGGTTGGAAACCATCGCTAGTAGGTTGGAGGCCATAGCTAGTTTGTTGGAGGCCATCGCTATTGGGGTCAAGGCCATTGCTAGTAGGTTCGAGGCCATCGCTAGGAGGTTGGAGGCCATCGCTAGTAGGTTGGAGGCCATCGCTAGTAGGTTGGAGGCCATCGCTAGTAGGTTGGAGGCCATCGCTAGTAGGTTGGAAGCCATCGCTAGTCGTTTTTCTTTTTAGAACATGCCAGGGAACCAAGTGAGTGTACAAAAGTCACCCTCTAGCAAAATACATTTTCTAGGGGACCCTGCATTTCCTAGTGAAATTTTGAACTTAATTCCAATTCTAATTTAAGTCCAATTTGATTTAATTCTATTTCTATTTTAATTCCAATTCAATTTTGATTCAATTTAATTCTAACTCAATTTAATCCTACTTCTAATTTAATTCATTTTTTTCTGCATTCTTTTTTAAACCTGAGAAAGGAGGGACGAAGGCCAGCCCCTCAAGGTTACGTGTCCGCCCAAAACAATCACGACGTGTCCATTCCAGTACCCGGCCCCGCATTTATGACTGTCAGTGAATTCGCACGCGAAGGTCTTGGGGTGAGCGCATTTTTGGTGTTCCGCTGCTCCGTTTTACTGCATGTGTGCGCCGACCAGGAACAGCATGGAACATTCGAAGACGCAAAGCAACCAAAAGCAAAAGACGAGCTACGGAAGGAGGCCCTTGTTCTGCTCGCGGCCTATTTAAACAAAGGCTGCAAGGACCCTGGATGAGCGCACCTTGACTTAAATTAAAAGTGCCATTGGCCAGTACAAATGGTATTATGCTTCATGATGAACGAACATCTTGGTCGAGGCATGGCATTGCCGCTCTGTCCCAGTGTCCTTAACATCGCTCGGCAGCGACCAGCTTGCACTATGGATGCATGAGTTTGACGAGGCTGCACCCCTGATGAAATCGTTGGCCAAACGGCCAGTGGACCCTTCTTCCTGCTTCTTTCCTTCTTTTTCGTTCTTTTCTCCTTCTTCCTGTCTCTTCCTTCTTCTTGTCTATTCCTGCTTCCTCCTCTAAAGCTAAATGTAGTAAAAAGATACGAATAAGCAGCAAACACTCACAACGTGTCAATTCCAGTGCCGAACTTTCCTGCATCTTACATGACCCTTCTTCTACCTTCTTTCCCTCTTCCTCGTTCTTTTACCTTTCTTCTTCTTCTTCTTGCTTGTTCCTTCCTTATATTGCATCCTTTACGTCATGGCAGCCCTTCTTCACCCATGCCATTGCATCCTTTACATCATGACAGCTCCCCTCTGATTGCATCACTTGCATCCACAGCCTCCTCAAAACGTACAAGTTTCCTCAATTTTTGTCCACCCACTTTTGGCCAGCTTTCCCCAATAAATTCTGAGCCCCTCCCCCCAGACCCCCAAATACTCACTTCGTTCGCTATTCAGATCTTCAGTCTGGCCTACGGCTGGCTTTCGTAACAAAATGTGAATGTCATCAGGGATGCTATTAGGGAGGCATCTTGAAGACCCTGTCAGGCGTCGGAGAAGGACCCTTTCTGCCGAGAGACGCTCGTCCGACGGCGTCGTCGCCCGTCTTCACCTGGCGGCGAACATGGCGGGCATCGCGGCACATGGGTCGTTTCTTGGAGAACATTCGATTGTGGTAGTGAAGTTCAGGGGGTAGAGAGTTCCGTCTCCCTAAGAGCAAGGACCAGGAGGAAACACACAAGAGTGCCGCTTAAAGTTCCAAAATTCCGTCCTGTTCTCCTCTGGAATATTCTGAGAAACTGCGAAAAGAACAAGAATAGCTCGGAAAAAAGAGGGGCACACAGAGGCGTGCGGCAGAAAGGCATTCTAAGCAGAACAGCAAGCAAGCGAAGAAGGCCAGCGACACAAAAAAAAACTGAAGGCAACGAAGCAGCTGGGTGGAAAACCAATCCATCAAAATATAGACATCAATCCGATACAAATACGAGCCCCCGTATAACAGCAGCACTTCTCCGGTTGGATGTAGGTGGTCCCTTTAGTGTAGGACAGGGAAACATATCTGAGTCTCACCCCATGAATCTGCATGACTTTAATTGCGTGAAGGTTGGGCTCATGCTCAAGTATCTTCAGAGCGAAGGCATAGTGTTGAAAGGAAAAAAACATTGCAAAAGCAGCATCTTGCCATCTCGCCAAAGTTAAATGCGATGCATATATAGAGGTTCCAATCCGGATGTGGATCGAAATGTTTACAGCCCCACAAGCAATAAGCTACTAGGAACAAGTGCCTCGCTACTAGTAACAAGTGCCTTGCTAGTAGTAACAAGGACGCTACTAGTAACAAGAAGCTACTAGGAACAAGTGCCACGCTACTAGGAGCAAGAAGCTACTAGGGGCTCCTGGCCCTACTACTAGGAACAAGTGCCACGCTAGTAGTAACAAGTGCCTTACTAGTAGTAACAAGAAGCTACTAGGAACAAGTGCCTTACTAGTAGTAACAAGAAGCTATTAGGAACAAGTGC